CATTTTAAGAATTTGATTGAAATCCATCCAGCTGTTCATGAAATAGTTTGCTAACAAACAGAAAAACAAACACCTAAACAGGCTTATATGATTGGTATAATTCTCACCTAAATGTAATAATATTTTCAAATTCATAAGATAAAAAAGTTTTCTGGGCAGCATCGATGTTTAGTTGTTTTATGCATCTTTTTTTCATACTCCTGCCTTACCTGTCCAGGTCTCCCTCAGCCTCAATGCTGCAGTTCACCAGCAGGCTCACCAGGCCTTCGCCCGACGTCTGCCAGGTGCAGCGGTGGCCCTGCTTGGTGCTCAGCTCTCCGGAGCTCAGCACTGAGCGGGTTTTGGGTTTCTTCGCTGGTGGGGTTGATGTCTGAGGCTGCAGAGGTTTGTCACGCCTCTCCTGGCCAGGCTGCCGCTTGGCCTCAGTGAGGAAGATGAGGCAGAGGAGGAAGAAGACGCTGCACAAAACAGCACGCATGGTGGCTGAGGGGAGGATTAATTTAAAAAAAAAATGTCTCAGTAAGGGTTAAAAAATATTAAAATACACTTTATGGCCTTGTAATATACAATTTAGTATTTCACAAAAGGAGCGCATCAGCTTTTTTAAAGCGGTCAATCTGTCCTGTCACACTATAATGTTTTAGACAACTCATGAAAATAAAATTCCACTAAATTACTAATGAACGTATTTGATCAGTTTATTGGCGTTACAGTATACGCCTAAAAGAGGCTTCCAGTTGTTTGTTTTCTTTCCATTTTTAATGCAAATTTCTCCAAATTTTCATGAGTTGGCAAAAATAGTCTAAAACATCAGTGTGACAGAGCTTTAAAATACAACCAGCACTTGGTTTTAGCTGGATGCAGATGCTAAAGCATATACAAAACCATATAAACCAAGCTGTATGAAAACTATTAGCCACGTGTCAAATACAAGGCCCGCGTGACTGCCGTGTGACCTGCTGGGGGGGGTCCCCTCCCAAATATATATATATATTTTTCTTTTTTTTTTTACTTAACATGAAATTTGTTTCTTATATCAATGGTAAACTTGAAATTTATGGTTAAATGCAGCAAAATTAATTAATTAATGTACACTAGTACTGATGTAATGATTGCATAAATCATCCAACATTACTTTCTAGACCACATCACGTCTCCTATATTCAGTTGTCAATCAGATATGTGTGATTAAATCTTTAAAATTTTTGGAAAACATCTCCAGGATGCCGACTATCTGAAATCCCAACATCCATCAAATTTATTCTTTAAAGTTAAATAATACTGACAGAGCCAGACTTTTATTGTGAAGAGTATTCATGAGCTGTCTTTTAAAACACCTGCTTTAAACATCTTTCTGTTTATCATCTAAGCCATTTTGGACTTTAAATTGTAAATTTGGCAGAAGGTTTTACTGAGTTCTCTGCAACTTTTAAAATATAATCAGGAGAACATTATTCAAGTTGGAATTCAACATAATGCAGTCCCATGTTAAAGTGTCCCTAATTAAAAAGATAAACTATTTTTTTCCTCCAATGTGCCACCTTTGTGTGTATTTTGTATCTATAGAATGGTTTCTTCAGATTAGCAATGCAGCGATTGAGCGGAGTGCTGGATGGATGGTAAACGGGGTAAATCCTTTTGAGTCGGCTGATTTGCTAGAAAGGACAGTCCATTTACCATGACGTAATCGTAGGAACTTTCTCAGTACCAAAAATATCCACTAAGAATCTGCCAAGTCACTGGTTGCCATGGTGATTATAGCATTTTGCTAGAGTAATTGAAGGTGAAGCGCCTCTTTTCATTAGGCAAATGCAAACTAGAAACTGAGCTTCGATTAAGCTTTTGAAGTACAAAAACCATAAGTTGCATCATCGACACTTAAGGGCATAATAGATTTAATTTTATTATATATTTAACCAATAAATATACAGAATTTGCTAAAATCTTACACATAATTTACAAAAAATGAGCAAAATCAGCAGGAGTATTTTATTGCCCAAACTTTTGAGTTGTTTGTTAAACTTTGAAAATTGACAGGTAAACTTCTAACAGCCTCCAAATGTGAAAAATACTGAGTGAGTAAAATAATCCCAGGATACAAAGAGAGCCAGAGGGAGAACGAGATGCCAGGTTGAAAGAGAAAATGTGAACTCTGGCTCTCTCCGTGTGAAAAAAAACAAAGTCTAAAAGCTGGAAGGATGAAAGTCGACAGCAGCAGAGACAACTTAAGAGCAACTCTAATAAAATAATTTCTCTAACTGTTCACCAAATTTAGTTGCATGCAAAGATCAGAGGCCTATTTCACAAAAGTCATATTTCTAAATTCAGGATATGAGCTGTAAGCCGAGCTTGAACTAGCCTTCAACTTGTAAACAGCCGTAATCTGTTGCTCTAACACCAAGCTGCGCTCAATTAGGGTGGTTCATTCAAGCCAGCTGTAAATAATCTGGGATTAATGCACATTTGCGGTTTGTTTACTAGACCCACTGGGTGGATCAAAGAGTTCCTGTTCAGGCATGTGCAGTAAGACACGAGTCTCACTTCCTCCAGCAGTTTAAGGGTTAATTATGATTCATATGAATAGATGAAGAGAAACACCGACTGATGCTGAAATATTTTTAAGAGTAAAAACTTTTTGTGCCTCTGAATCTGTTTGTAAGTTATCTGAAATAAAACTAAATGAACAAAATTAAAATGAACAGCTGATCGCTCACTAAAAATGATCGCTGTAGGTAAAGATGAGGGACAGAGGGACGGGGGTCGGGAGGGGTTAAGCTAAGGTGCTGAAGGGGGGGGGGGGGAGCACGAGTCGGGATCCAGTGCGGGCACGTATGTGTTGGGGGGAGACAGGGGTGGGAAGACGCGGTAGCGATGGAGGTGGTGTAGGTGGGTGGCCTGTAGAAGACACAAAGAAAGGGGGACTTGTCAGATTATTTGAAAGACTATTCAGGGGAAGCGGAGAGTCTTTTTTATTTTAATTTTTTGCATTGATAATCTGATAAATAAATTAAATGAATAAATTTACTCTGTAATATTTTAATGCAAATAAAAATAAATTTAATAAGTGAATGAAGAACTGATTTCTGATCACACTACATAAATTAGGCTTCTAAAATATGTTTAAAATACTAGATTAGACCATTATTATTTTCAAATTAATAATAATTAATAATCTGCAGTTTGGCAGTTGCACTTGGAAAGACTTCTTGAAGTAAAACGAAACTTTTCAAATTAACAAGATTAATAATCCAACATCTTCTGATCTTGTATATCGGTCTAAAAACAAGATCAGAAACAGATTAAATAAGCTTCACTTTAAACCTGGTCAGGACCAGGTTAGTTTCAGAACATTTGTTACCATGAAAACATAAGTGCTTCTTAGCTCATGCAACTGATTCAAGGCTTAATTAATTCAGGTTTACACCTAAATCCTGGCTTAATCCTTTATCCTAAATTCGTGCAATAGGTCTCAGGAATATTTGCTGTTTTCTAATGCAATTTTTACAGAATCTCAAAAACTTTATTCACAATAAGCTCTAAACAATTATTTATTGGTGTAGAAAAAAAGCATCAAAATTCATATTAAATACATAAAAAATTGTCTACTGTTATTGTCTTAATTTAAACTGTGAGTGACAGAAATTTGTGCATATGTGCAATTTTTTAACAACAGTATTTTGTTTTGAACTCTCTATTTCAGGTTTCCAAGAAAAAAGTCAGAGCCCAGACACAAAACAGATGCAGTGGATTTATTTAAAAACAAACAAAAAAATATGTCCACTATTTCCACTCAGCTGAAATGATAGGTAACACATTTGCACATCTTCAATGTAAACCTTTACTCAGTTCAGTTGAGTGGAAACAGTGGACATATTTTTTTCTAATTAAATCCTTTTTTATTGCACCCTGAGATGTGATCAGAAATTCATATAAAGTTTTCTTTCCTGTGATCCATTTAAACTTCATGTGTCTGTAAAGTGAAATATTTCTAAGCTCACCAAAATGTCGATGGGGAAGTTTAGCTTGCAGTTTTTTGCAAAAATATGTCCAAGTCATACAATGCACTGCTATCAAAAATGGTAAATCACTATTTCTGGTATACTACTGCAGAGGCAGTTTTATAAAGTCATTAGCTGCTTGTGTTTACTGTAATACTGCATTATTAAAGCAGTACATTAGTGTTCTGTCACAATGAAGTCCTGCTTCTTTTACATTTCACAAAGTAAAAGGTTCACAAAAGCTATTGTGACGTGTACAAGCACAAGCAGGCTCATATATTGTGATTTCTTAATTATTTTTTAAAGGTGCGAACAAAATATTAACAGCAACACTTTGGATTTTACTTAATGTGTGCACATGGGCTAAACTTAAACATGAATAGAATCAGCTAAAGCTTATTTATCCAGTATTAAAATATGAGAAAAGTTATCTCTAGACAATTTACAAGTTATGGAAAAAACCCCACAAAAAATAGACACTTAATTTACTTAAAAATAAATAAATAGAATCTCCGAGTAAATATAAAAATGCCAAGCATTTTTAAGAAGAGCAGAACATGGTGAACCCACATGGTGCAGTTTGGCTGCAGTGATTAACAAGTCTTTTCTCCCAAGTCTCTGAGCTAAACACCACAAATTAACTGCAAACTGCAAGTTTCAGAAAAGCACAGTTACTCTGCCTGTTTTTGTATTTGCGTCATTGAGAATGAAAAAAGTTTAAAAAAACTAGAATGACTACTTTTAACAGCTAAAAATTCCTTTCCTTTGCAGCATTTTAACCATGATTTCTGTAAAACAAAAATAAATAAATAAAAACAAAAACAAGGTCTCACAAGAAAAATCATTTCTGTGCTCCCCCTGCCTCATCCCCCTTCATCCAAACCTATCACCATCAACAAATCACAACAACACAATTATTTGCCCGTGTGTTGCGTCAAAATTTAGTCTAACTATAAAAGGATGTAGAAAATCAGTTTGTTAGAGGGCAAGCAGAGGCCTGGTGGTCTTACCATGTGACGCTCCTTGAAGCTGTGAGAATGTGGGGGCCACAAACACTTGGATAAAAGAGGGGAGAAAATGAGAATAAAGGCAGTGGCGGAGGAGAATAGGGGTAGGAGGAGGTCTGAGAAGAAATGCCCCTCCAAAATCTAAAGGGCCCCTCCCACATTTACCCCCATCTGTGTGTGAGAAAAGGCCAAAGGGACACTCTTGAAAAGATTTTGCGCCACACTGACAATATTTTAGTTTCTGGTTGCGTCAGTGTCACTTAGTATGTGAACAAAAGGAAAGGTTTTTATTCATCCCTGGAAACTTTTTGTCCCGTGACAGAACATTCATTTTTCAAACTCAAATAAATTCACTCTCATTTGATGTCATTTTTAGAAAAGTACATTCAGAAGTATTTTGGAAAATGATACATAATATACTGTAATGATGAAAAAAATGCTTATAGCTGCACAAGTGTCATATGTGTATTTTTTTATTTTCTATCGTCAACCATTTTCTACAACCACTTTTATTGTGTGACTTATGACATTAGTAAACTGTATGTTGTAGACAATTATTATTATTAAAGTTTTCTAATAGATAATGATGAAATTTTGGTGAAATGGGTGAGAAAATTCAGTCATCCTTAGAGCTCAATACCTCAGACAAATTTCACTGAACAAACATTATTCAAAGTTTAAACAGGTCATTATCAAGTTGGAATTTACATGATTTATTATACATTATTTATTTAATGTTAATTATTTATGTTTATTGATCACTGCTTTATGCGGATGATGTGGTTCTGTTGACTTCTATTTATCCAAAACCTTCAGTGTGCACTGAGACCGTTTGCAGCCAAACATGAAGTGACTGGGATTGGAGTCAGCTCCACTAAATCTGAGGCCATGATTCTTAATCAGAAATACTGTAGGTGGAATGCCCCCTTCAGGTAGTGGGAGGAGTCTTTGCCTCAGGTAGAGGAGTTCAAATATCTGGGTGTGTTGTTACGGAGTGATGGTGGTATAGAACAAAAAATGGATGAACATACCAGGACCTTATCAGTATGAAGCCATTGCTTTGATTGGTTGTGGTGAAGGAGTTCAGCACCAGGCAAAACTCTCTATGGTCGCGATGTGGATCATGACCGAAAGAAAGAGATCCTGGATACAAGCAGCCAAACTGGGCTTCTTTCATAAGGTGGCCAGGCTCAACCTTAGAGATTGGGTGAGGAGCTTGGTCATCCAGTGGATAGCTGAGAGTTGAGCTGCTGCTTCTTCACATCAGCTGAGGTGGTTTGGGCATCTGATTAGGATGTCTGGCCTGGGAATGCCTTCAAGGTGGAGATTTGAAGATTTCACACTAAGGAGTTGCCTAAACTCTAAACATTTTGTAACCTTTTCTACTTTTTCAGTTTTTACAATTCTCATATATGTAAAACATCAAAACATAAATATGTGTATGTTCTGTCGCACTGCTATAGGACTTATAGCAGGGATCATCAATTACGGTCCTTGAGGTCTGAAGCCCTGCATGTTTTACTTGTTTCTCTGCTCCAACACACCTGATTTAATAGATGATCATCAGGCTTCTGAAGAACTTGGAAGAGGTAATTCACTGACTGAATGTCATGTACATTGAATAACTTATCAATATGAATCTGCTGATACCTTGTTTTTAAACTTTGGTTGGTTTATAGCAATGTTATTGGCATGTAAGTTTTCTGTACCCCTAATTTTGATGGTCACAATAGAAAAGGAGTGTGGCCAAAAAGGGGTCCCTGGGAGTCAGTGAGACCCAACTTTTTTTTCTGTTAACATTCATTTTCTGAAAGAGTGGACCCTAGGGTACATGATAATACCAGAGAAGTTCAGTAGTGGGGGTGTGCACGGTGAGCTACCCTAGCCCATGGACTATCAGATATTGTCCAAGATTAACCTTCAGGGTGGATATAGCTCGCTAGCAGCCTCGCACCGAGGATCTATCCATGTCATCATTTACCCAGAATGCTTTGTGTGTAAATAAAATGGCCCCATCCGTGTAATATACTTTTAAACTTTTAGTTTAAAAATGATAAAAACTGAACATCCTACAGCATGTTTACACTCTTTATTTTACAGTTAAATATATATGTTTATTAAATAAAGTCTAATGCTACAACTAATCAGGGATTCCTTTAAAAATAAAAATAAGAGCGTTTATTCACTGTTGAGTTATGGTGAGCAGCTGGCGTCTTGAACTCTGAGCTCTCCTACTTTGCAACAGGAAGTTCCCACTGGATGGGGTATTCCTGTTTATATTTATGACTTGTTAGTCGAGAAATTCTCAGTTCTCAGTACAATTGAGCCAGTGAATGTGCAGTGAAATTAAGATTTTATGCAGTGAATTTTGAAAGCTGCCACCTACAGGCTAGCTCCTCCATCTAGTGGTTAGATGCCATCAGGCCGACCCTAGTCATTTGGGTGCCCTAAGCACAGCTGCTTGTGGAAAAAGAGAAAGAGAAAGAAAAAAGTGAAATGTAATGAGAAAGAGTGAAAGAGAGATTAGAAGATATGTGAAATATATGTTGAGAAAACACAAGACAGCACACC